AAAAAAAAAAAAAAAAAAAAAAAAAAAAAAAAAAACAACCACACACAAACTTAGAAACACAGACCGGTTAAAATCAAAGCAATTTTTTCCAAAAAGGATCTGCAGGCAGATTAAACATCAGCCTATGATTAGAAGCAGTAACTGTGGCTTCAGGCTGCTGTAAATCTGACTCAACCTTACCATATAGCACTGGGCAAGTCAGCACAGGACTGAAGCTTGAACACTAATTCACATAAAACATCCTACTGCATAGGCCCAACCATTTCCAAAGACACACACAGGATGCACAATCAGACTTCTGACTTATCTTAATAATAATATTTTGATCTTAACGGCTTGCAGAAGCTCCAAATGCAATTGCAGCCCATTCTTTTATTTACTGTTTTGTATTACAGTAGCACTTGGAGATACCAAGTGAAATCAAGGTTTTAGACATAACCATGCAAGGACATAATACAGCCTCACTAATCAAGAAGTCCTTGCCCTGAAGAGCTTACACTATAAACAGAGGCAGCAGCAAAAAGAAGTTTTATTATCCACTTTTCAGAGAGGATGGTTACAGTGCCTCTCAGGACTTGCTGGTGGGCAGCCACTTTACCTCTGTTTTGAATGGCAGTACGTCCAGAGGCGGCTCAGTGAGCCTGACTGTGGCATTCCCCGGCTGGGCATGCAGGCAGCGTAGATGTGCCCCGAGATCTGGGCCCTGCCTAGGTTAAATGTCAGTATGTGCTTAACTTTAAACATATGCAGAGTTCCACTGAATTCAATACAGATCTTTAAAGCCAGCCAAAGGCTAAAAAGCCTCTGCTAAATGGAGAGCCACTTAACCTAATGAAGATCAAATAGGAAACTGGTGCACAGCCAAGAATACAACCCAGGGTCTCAAGTTGTAGTTAGCATCTTAAACACAGGACCTTTCCTCTCTACCTGGGCCTTAGCTTTTGGCATCTGTGAGATATGTAGCAATATTAATCTAGCTTCTACAATTGCTAAGTTGTTTACAATAAACTGTTTGTAAAACACAAGAAAACCATACATGAGCTGTTATGAAAGGACAAAAAAAAGATACTAAATCTAATCTCCGAGATGAGGATAGCAATGAATAAAACAAGCCTGAACAAAAATTAGGCAGGCAAGGTTCTTTGGAGAGATGTGGTATCTTTTATTAGACCAACTGAATAGTTGGAACAAGGTTCTTTGCAAGCTTTCAGGCACAAGTACCCATCTTCAGGCATAGAGAGACTGCTGTTGTTCAAAAATTATTTTTTCAAACTATATAATACTGCTCTCAACTTTCTCTAGCAATTATATATGCTGTAGTGTGCTTGGCCTGTATGTATAAAACAAAAGCTAATTAAAATATTCATGACACCAAAGGAGAAAATTCACAGCAGACATTTTAAAACACACTCCCATGCAATCTTTATAAAAAAAAAAAAGATTTTTAAAATCTTCAAGCTGTTAAAAATTTAGCAAGACAAGCAAAAGTAGCATGTAGTACTCTAAAAGCAAAACTACTTGTTTGCTTAGAAACAAGGTAGAAACTTCTGTGAAAAGGACGTAAATTACTAGAATTTAATATAAATGAAAAAGCAGCATGCTTCCTTCCTCCTGCAATTCCAGACACCACAATATAAACTGACCACCACACATACTATACATATTACCAGATAAAACATCAAGAACAAAGAAATGTCTACCTCTGCCAGATTGTGCTGATGTAACCTAAGCAGGCCAAAAGACAGAAAAAGAAAACCTATTTCTCAATACAGCTGAAATATATATTCATAGTGTAAAATAACAACAGCACATAAGGGAATGACGACTTGTACATCTGGAGCCGTTTCAAAAGGGTAGCAACAGTTTCCCCTTTTGAAATGGCTCCAAATGTACATGTCCTGGCTCTAGGTCAGAGCTGACCAACTTCTAAGCACCCAGGGCCATGTGTCCTGGGCACCAACATCCCCTATTACACCTCACGATCCCCTCCTCCTGCTGCAATGGTCATGTGTGCTGGTACAATGCCCCCACACCCCAAGGCACAGCCCCAGACTCGCCCTTAGCTCCTCATGCTGCTGCACGTCATCCCACCCCCTAAAATACCAGAAGCTGAAGGAGGGACGGGGAGACTTCAGCTGCTATTGCAGCCAGAGTGATGAGAAGAGCAGTGGCTGGGGAGAGCCCAAGGGTCACACTGCAGTTGGACAACTCTGCCCTAGGTAACACCCTTTGGGTCAAGATTTTAGAAGTTCTTTACAACCTTTATGGAGCATTTCTAATTTGAAAGCAACTCTGAAAATGACACTCATCTGTTCTCAAAACTGAACAATAGAAAAAGATTATGCAAAAAGTTACCTTTATTAAATGAGACTCATCTTAAGTGATTCACTTCATAAGCAGAAAGACAGGTGTAGTGTCCACAGTGAACATACATTTCTATTTTTAGTGTTGGAAGAGAAGGAAGGAATTTGATATTGTATTTCTTTAGTTCAGGGACTGGCAACCTAAGGGCCACAGAACAGCCCATGGACATGGGGCTTCAGCTGCAGGCCCTCTCCCAATACCAATGCAGAGACAAGCTACAGCTACAGACGGATTCCTAGCACCTGTTCCCTCTGACTTAGGGCAGACTATTCCAGCCTGCAGCTGAACAGGTTCACACCCCTGCTGTCGAGATATTTCAGTCCCTTCTTATATACTAGACTCAACCTTTATACTGGGGAATCCAGTGATAGGGAACCTGTGTTAACTACAAAGGTTCCCTATCACTACAGATTATTTCCTAGGAGTTGTCCCCGTGCCATTCTACTTTTATTGTTCATTCAGTCAAACCAGATTTCTACCAAGGTTGCAGCAGCAGGAGCCACTGCTGGTGTCACTAACTTTATAAGTTAGTACCTCTGTAGAATCCCTTGCTGTGTAAAATGTGTGCTATGAACTGATTGGAATCAAACATAAAAATGGGAAAAAAGTCCTCTGAAGTGTCTAGTGTAAATTTAGCATACTGGCAGGCAATTATTTGGGCCTGTAGGCCACACAGGCAGTTTTGGGGAGCAGTTACAGGCCAGTCAGCAGCACCACCCCCTACCTCCTCTGCAATAGCCCAGAGTTTGCATACCCTACGGCTTCTCCCTGCTAACAGTGCCCAGAAGCAGCCGAGTGCACAGTTCTATCCCTGACCTGCCCCGCATCTGGTCCAGACTTACCCTGGCTAGAGCAGACCAGCTATGCAGCAGCAAGAACCCACATGCATAACATTGACCCTGGCCTGTCCCATGTCCTCTCCAGACCAGTCCATCCATGATGGAGCAGTGGCAGCAGACAGGTCCAGAGCAGATGTGGGGCAGCCCAGGGTCAGGGCTGTGTGCGGGTCCCAGCTGGTCTGGAGCTGGTCCACTCCCATTAGGATGATTCCAGAGAGGACATGGGGCAAGCCAGTGCTTGAACCCATGTCTCCACCAGTCTCCACAGGGCTGGGCTGGGGTTAGGGCCAGCAGCAGCTCCTAGCCACATGAACGGCTTAGAACTGGAGTCCAGCCATGGAACCACCCCAGCCCAGCTGCGCACCTAGGAGAGACAGGACGCCCCACAGGCCAGATGGCGCCTGGGCTAGCTAGGACCAAGGGACCCTCCACAGGCTGGATAAAGTCCCTCCATGGGCTGGATTCAGTGTGTGGGCCATATTTTGCCCACCCCGACTTGAGTGATGCTGTAGCTCTGATAGTGCAGGAACTGTGTGATAAGTAAGGATTTCTTTTGGTGATATCTTTTAGTAGACCAGCTTCAGAGTCAGGATAGCATTAGACAAGCTTTTGAACGCAAGGCATTTTTCATCAGGTCTGAAGAATGTCTTGCACTGAAAAGCTTGCTTAACTCTTCCAGCTATGCAACTGGTCCAACAAAATATAATCACTCAAAGAAATCCTTGCCCCGGTGTAGACTTAAACATTAGGAATCCTGGACTACAAATCTGCAAATATGGACAGAGAATTGAGTAGAGCTTATGGGAATAGAATTGCTTTGATCCTAACCGGGACTACTGGGCACTACTTCAACATGAAGTAATAACTGATAACAACTAAAATGCATCAGAACAAGATAGACTACAATTCTTTTCTCCTCCACTTACCTGCCCCAAACCCAAATTCATGGATCTGCATTGCCTTGGTGGTACTGAACAATTTCATTAGCACTTAATTGGATGAAAGGAACTCGGCTCCATGGTCTGCTTTAGGAATATGTGGGTACATCATTGCTATCCATTGCTGCACAGAAACTCAGAATCCTAACATCAGTTCTTAGGTAAAATATTGTTTTCTTCACCATTAAAACGTTCTTCAGAGTTGAAGTTCACGTTATGCTGTTTGAGAAGGCAAAAATGAACGGAGCAATTTAAGAAGTAACAAGTGGGTATCAAAATTAAAAGTGCACATTTAACCATTCCCAGAAACTCCAAAAATTAAACAGCAAGCAAGACAATTATTAAACGGTAAGTCACAGATATACAAGTAAAAAGATAAACTGAGCAAAAGAATATTAAAAAAAAAAAAAAAAGATTCTATTACATTATGCAAGTTTCCAAAATGAAATCACTTTAGGTCATTTATAAGCAGGTGAAATACTACAAAATACAGTTCTTTATTGGCAAAGAAATTAATAAATGATCAGCTGTAAGTGTGTCTCTCTGATTTTTACCATTTATTTAATAAATGCAATATGACTGATCTCTAACCTTCTCTGGGCCAAAGGGATTAAAAATAATAATAATAAAAATCAAGTAGTATTGAATAATTCTGTATTTCCCTTTCCAAAACACTCCTACTGCCAGCATATTCAACCCTGAATCTAATTTTCAGTCAATATTTGTTTTTACTCTAAGGATTAAAAGCAAAGAATTCAAATAGCCAATATCAATAATACACATAGGCAGCAGAATTGAGCGTGGGTAAAATCCCTCTTCTAGATCTAAGTTGTCTATCTATTTTACATATTTATTTTAGATATAAATAAAATATTCACATAAATCCTAGATAAACAGGATTCTGAACCCTTATTCATATCAAGGCAAATTAGTTCCTTTTTCAAAGGATAAGCCTTCCTAAAACTTACCAGCTGTCTTCCATGAATTGTGAAGTGACAAGAGAACAAAACTATGTTTAGACACATGGCCTCTTTTATATCATCAGTGAAATGTTCCCTATTAAACCATCCAAATGAAGACTTTTATTTTCTCAGTCTTTCAAAAATAGTGCCAGAGTGCTGCCTAATAATGCCATTTCCTTGAAGAAAACCACTGGGGTTGCAGACGCATGCAAATATGGGGAAATACCATACTTACTCAAATCTCAGATGATCTCCCCCCTCCATTAGATTCTACACATGGAAAATGTATACATTTGCTATAGCTTCCCATGTATAGAATCTAATTTTTTTGAGGGTTATCTTTAATTCATTCCCCGCACTGCAACAGGGCACAGGCTGTGGGGAGGTCAAGTAACTTGCCCCCTATTTGTACCTGGCCCCATCACCTCTGCCTTCAGGGGGTTGGACTAGATGACTTCTGGAGGGTCCTTCCAGCCCCACTTCTCTATGATTTCTATGAACTGGCCCTTCAGTGGACAAGCCCTGGTCATTTTGGTCCAGGAAGTGCTGGAAAGGCTAGTGTGCTCAGATAAGCAGAAGCCCACCCTTGCAGGAGATATCTGTCATCTTGGTCACATTCTGTAAAGCTAGGCGAAAGCTTAAATGGGTGAAGTGTCACACGTAAAATCTCATCTACTGATTAGAAAGTATGCAGAATTAATCAAAGTTTGTGGTAAGAAGTTAAAAGAGACATGGAGAAGGGCAGTGGAGATGATCGGGGGTATGGAGATTTCCGTAAAAGAGACTAAATAGTAAATAGGACTTTTCAGCTGTCTCCACACACTGCCATCTCCCCTCGCCCATGCAGCCTCTGCTCCCCCACCTGCCCCTCTCTTTCCCAGCCTTATTTTTGCTCCATACTGGCAAGCTCCATGCACGCTGCAGCCTGGAGCATTTAGCACAACCCCAGGCCACATGGCAGCAGCACATGTCCAGCTGCTACAGGGGCTGGGCTGGGGATGTGCTCAGTGCCCCAGCCCAGAACAGGGATGGAGCCATCCTGGGCAGAGCAGAAGTTGCAGGGAGAGGGAAGGGGAAGTGGGGAGCAGAGGCTGCAGGGGAGCAGCTGTAATTATGGCCCCAATTCTGGGTAGGGGCTGAAGCCCAAGCCACAGCAGCCACCTGTCCTCACCTTTGTATGCAATTCTAAGATGAGGGGCTTTCTCCCTCCCTGCATGTTAAATAGGGACAAAAAAAAAATCTTGCCTTAGAATCAAATAAATTTTAACTTAATATTATTCAGCCTGACAAAACTAACATGAAAATGTACTGTGAA